GAAAGGAAATACTGCTACTGATGATAACATGGATGAACCTTCAGTGAATTATGCTAAATGAAATAAGTCAGACAAAGTCTTATTTGTGATATAATTTATATGTGGTCATAAAAACAAAGAGTAGAATGGTGGCTCCTAGGAGTTAGGAGGTGGGAGAAAATGGAGATGTTGGTTAAAGGGTACAACTTCCAGTTATAAAATGAACTAGAGGCCCAGTGCACATAAATTTGTGCACTCGGGGGGGAGGGTCCCTCAGCCCGGCCTGCACCCATTCACAGTCCAGGACCCCTTGGGGGATGTCCACGAACCTGCTCCTTCTTTGGCTGTTTACAGGTTTACCTTACTGGGAACTCACAGAGACTTTAAGCCCTTTGAACATAGGGACAGAGCTGTATTGTGTTTCTATAATACAGGCACAAAGTTAATACAACTTTTATAAATATTTGTTGAAGAAACTGATAAATTTCAGTGCCATGAGGCATTACTTTTCCTTCTGCTCCATCTCTTTATTGGGACTTTTGTGCAAAGCATAGGGCTGAAGGGATGTGCAGGTAGAGCGGAGTCAAGTTGCTTTCTCCAAAACCTAGATCCCATACTTTGATTTTACATAGTGGATGCATTTCTGAATGACATTTTGAATTGGGTATATTAGGTTTTACTAATATCAACTCCCTTTACTCATAGAGATTATTTTTAATGATGTTTAAATGTTTTGTACTATGAGGTAAAAATATTTTGCTTATTTCAAGAATCTTTGTGCATTCTTTCTGTAGTAAAGTGCATTATCAACATGGTAAGTTTATTTGGAGGGTCTGCTTAAAATGGGGCACAACAGTACTAACAATGACTAATTTGCACACCATGTGGAGTTAGATGGCTATTGGACATACCATTTTTTTGGTCCCTTTGCTCCCACAGCACCTGCTTCAACCAGAGGCAGTGTCCTGACCCTCAATGACCCCTTTGCCATGGCGACCGCAGGGCATCGACTGCCTGAGGCCTTGGCAGTCAGCCTGGTGTTGACCTTCCCAAGAGGACAGCAACCCTGCCGAATGCGCATCAGGGGCAGGGTCCCACCGGCAGAGGCGGGGCAGGGAGGCACACAGGGAGAGCATGCAGGCAGCCTGCTGAACCCAACAGAGTTCCTTCCCTCCTCCTCTCCTCTCCTCCAGTGCCAGCGGCCTCAGAAGGTGGGGAGCCTGAGGTGCAGGTCCTGGCTGGGCAAGCGGGCACTTCTTCCCAGGGTTTTGGAGGGTGTTGGCGGCTGGAAAGGAGGGAGGCTGCCCCCGCCCCCACTGCTGTGTGGGACATTGTGAAGGAGGGAAGAGCCCCTGGGCCCTGCCGCTCGCAGCCACGAGTCACCCGACTTTCTGCAGCGGTACCTCCAGTCAGCACTGAGGACATTGGGCAAGCTGGAGGAGGAACACATGGTAATAAGTCTAGTGAGAGACACTGTTATTTTTGTTGCTACTTCATAACTGTAATTTTGCTACTGTTATGAATCGTAATGTAAATATCTGATATGCAGGATGTATTTTCATTGTTACAAATTGAACATAATTAAAGCATAGTGATTAATCACAAAAACAATATGTAATTATATATGTGTTTTCCAATGGTCTTAGGTGACCCCTGTGAAAGGGTCATTCGACCTTAAAAGGGGTCGCGACCCTCAGGTTGAGAACCATTGGCCTAGCCGGACCGCTTTTCCAGCTCCACATTTGTGTCGCAAAAGCAATTATTTTAGAATATGATCTGCTGCCTCAGTCCAACCCCCTTGGTTTGAATTTTCTGCACTGGGAGCTGAGAGCCACCCCATCCTGCTGCCGGGACCTGCTCAATGCACCTCATGGTGACCAGTCATCCATCTGGTCATTGCAGTCATTGGGGACACTGGCCTTTTATAATGTAGACTAGAGGCTTGGTGCACAAAAATTTGTGCACTTGGAGGGAGGGGGGGGTCCCTCAGCCCGGCCTGTGCCCTCTCGCAGTCAGAGACCCCTCGGGAGATAACGACCTGCTGGCTTAGGCCTGCTCCCTGGTGGCAGAGGGCAGGCCCAATCCCTAAGTGCAGCCCCTGGTCGGGCTCAGAGCAGGGCCGATTGGGGAATTGGGGCGCCGCCCTTTGTCATGCACAGAGCAGGGCGAATCGGGAGGTTGCGATGCC